TGTAAATCTATTGGATTAGCTAAAATTGTTGCTGAAATGGATTCATTAATGGCTGTTCATTTTATTCAAGAGAATCGGCTGCCTGACAATTTGTCGCATTTTGCCCATCATATGTCTGCTTCTTCTGTTTGCCCTAGGTGTGATGTTTCGGAGGAAACACCCATTCACTTGTTACGTGATTGTTATTATGCTAAGATTGTCTAGGGACTTTTGGGGTTTGCTACATCTGAGTTCTTTGCTCTAGAGTTGGTTTCGTGGATCAAGAAGTTTTCTAATCCATCATGGCAAAATAGGCATGTTGGAGCGTCATGGATGATGTTGTTTCTGTCTACTCTTTGGATTCTTTGGATTCTTTGGAAAGATAGGAATGCTCTCATTTTTAGATCTCATAAGTCAAGACCCTAGGAGTTATGTGCTAGGATATTTCAGCAAGCCTAGGACACTATGATTGTAATGAATCTTATATCGTCATCCCGTTCGAGGCAGCCACAGTGGGTAAGTTGGATTCCACCAGATGAGGGATCATACAAACTAAACTCTGATGGGTCTTATAAAGCTGCCAATAATTTTGCTGGAGCAAGAGGTTTGATTAGAGATAGCTCAGGTTGTTAGATTTCTGGTTTTACAGTTAATGTGGGGGACGCTTCTATTTTTATTGTTGAGCTTTGGGGTCTTAAAGAAGGACTTCGATTATGTAAATCTATTGGATTAGCTAAAATTGTTGCTGAAATGGATTCATTAATGGCTGTTCATTTTATTCAAGAGAATCGGCTGCCTGACAATTTGTCTACAGTAATTTTAGTAGATATTAAGAGTTTGATGCTAGAATTTGAAGCCTACCTTCTACAACATACTTTGCAAGAGGGGAATGCTATAGCAGACTTCTTAGCTTCCTTGGGACACTTTTTGCCACCAGGTTTAAGCATTTGGAGCTCTCCATCGAGTGGCTTAAGGTCCATCCTTATAGGGGATCAATTGGGGGCATGCTTCCTTCATTATTAGTTTTCTTTTAGTTCAGTTACTTTATTGGCCAAAGCCCCTATTTGCACCCTACACTTAATTGTTTTCCACGGTCAACACCTTCCGGAATTTTTCCTCCCTATTCACACCCTTAACTTTTTAAAACCCGTAAAAAACCCAACATTTTAACGGACCATCACGGCACCGTTAAAAAAGACACTACGTGGCA